TACTCAAGTTCCCGGTGGAGTGTAAAAAACAAAATCACAAACATTCCTGTATTTGTCCTGCCGGAGTCTTACCATGAGGACAGGGAATGGTGGGTAATGTCACTTCGAGGTAACATCTTGCACAACGTCAGATAGAAGAAGCCCATCACGTATGTAGCCTCATGGCTGTCAGCTATAAAGACAGCCAGTCCATCAGCATTATCTGCAACAGGACTGATTACCTGCCTGCCAGGAAGCCTCCCATACCCACCATCTGCATGGAATTAAAAAATGACGAAGCTAATCAGAATCATTCCAAGTGGAAATGCAGTTGACACATTCATTTCCATCTCTGGATTGCTCGTCGGTTCTTGGAGACAAATAAAAAAGGGCTTTGAAACATGTTCCTTCTGTGTATAGAGAGTGCGACAATGGAGCATTGGCAGCAGCATGTCGTACCTCTCAGATCAGCCGTTGTACATGGACCAAAATGTTCTTCAGCTTGTCCAGAGGCAGTTCCACTGTGCCAACAATACACAAAGAGTGGAGCTCTGGGGTAATATGCGATGCTCATTAACCCAGGCCCTGGAAATGACTGAGCAATGGCTCCTTGTGTATGCCTATGAGTGCACTTGATACGTGAATCGGGTGGGATTAAGAGTGGAATGGAGAAACAGAGTTCATATTGTGATCAGATAGGAAGGTCCTTGCAGACTGCGAGGATTAACAAAGCTGCACTCATTGCTTAGTCAAACCAACATTAGGAAAATGCCATTATGGAATATATATATATATATATACATTGACCATATACTTCATTGGTCCATCGGTGATCTGTTTATTTTGTAACTGTCCTGGTCTGGTCTGTTAATAGCAGTGTTGCAGGGGAATCTCCCTCTTACTGTCCATACATCACCCCATTCGGAGAGACATACTGCGAGAAACAGGAAGGAGAAGAGCTAGAGGCTGACGGACAAACAGTCAGAGGCTGAAAGGAGGAGAGCTAGAGGCTGACGGACAGACAGACAGAGGCTGTAAGGAGGAGAGCTAGAGACAGACAAGCAGGCACAAGCAATAAGGAGGAGAGCTATAGACAGACAGACAGTGAGAGACAGTAAGGAGGGAAGCCAGAGACAGACAGTGACAGGAAAGCCAGAGACACAGTGAGAGAGAGTAAGGAAGAAAGCCAGAGACAGACAGTGAAAGACAGTAAGGGACAGACCGTGAGAGACAGTAAGGAAGAAAGCCAGAGACAGACAGTGATAGACAGTAAGGGACAGACAGTGAGAGACAGTAAGGGACAGACCGTAAGAGACAGTAAGGAAGAAAGCCAGAGCCAGACAGTGAGAGACAGTAAGGGACAGACTGTGAGAGACAGTAAGGAAGAAAGCCAGGGACAGACAGTGAGAGACAGTATGGAGGAAAGCCAGAGACAGACAGTGAGAGACAGTATGGAAGAAAGCAAGGGACAGACAGTGAGAGACAGTATGGAAGAAATCCAGAGACAGACAGTGAGAGACAGTATGGAGGAAAGCCAGAGACAGACAGTGAGAGACAGTATGGAAGAAAGCCAGAGACAGACAGTGAGAGGCAGTAAGGAAGAAAGCCAGAGACAGACAGTGAGAGACAGTAAGGAGGAAAGCCAGAGACAGACAGTGAGAGACAGTATGGAGGAAAGCCAGGGAAAGACAGTGAGAGACAGTATGGAGGAAAGCCAGAGACAGACAGTGAGAGACAGTAAGGAATAAAGCCAGGGAAAGACAGTGAGAGACAGTATGGAGGAAAGCCAGAGACAGACAGTGAGAGACAGTAAGGAATAAAGCCAGGGAAAGACAGTGAGAGACAGTATGGAGGAAAGCAAGAGACAGACAGTGAGAGACAGTAAGGAAGAAAGCCAGGGACAGACAGTGAGAGACGGTATGGAGGAAAGCCAGAGACAGACAGTGAGAGACAGTAAGGAAGAAAGCCAGGGAAAGACAGTGAGAGACAGTATGGAGGAAAGCCAGAGACAGACAGTGAGAGACAGTATGGAAGAAATCCAGAGACAGACAGTGAGAGACAGTATGGAGGAAAGCCAGAGACAGACAGTGAGAGACACTATGGAAGAAAGCCTGGAACAGACAGTGAGAGACAGTATGGAAGAAAGCCAGAGACAGACAGTGAGAGACAGTAAGGAAGAAAGCCAGGGACAGACAGTGAGAGACAGTATGGAGGAAAGCCAGAGACAGACAGTGAGAGACAGTATGGAAGAAATCCAGAGACAGACAGTGAGAGACAGTATGGAAGAAAGCAAGGGACAGACAGTGAGAGACAGTAAGGAAGAAAGTCAGAGACAGACAGTGAGAGACAGTAAGGAAGAAAGCCTGGGACAGACAGTATGGAAGAAATCCAGAGAGAGACGGTGAGAGACAGTAAGGAAGAAAGCCTGGGACAGACAGTGAGAGGCAGTATGGAAGAAAGCCAGAGACAGACAGTGAGAGGCAGTAAGGAAGAAAGCCAGAGACAGACAGTGAGAGACAGTATGGAGGAAAGCCAGGGAGAGACAGTGAGAGACAGTATGGAGGAAAGCCAGAGACAGACAGTGAGAGACAGTAAGGAAGAAAGCCAGGGAAAGACAGTGAGAGACAGTATGGAGGAAAGCAAGGGACAGACAGTGAGAGACAGTAAGGAAGAAAGCCAGGGAGAGACAGTGAGAGACAGTATGGAGGAAAGCCAGAGACAGACAGTGAGAGACAGTAAGGAAGAAAGCCAGGGAAAGACAGTGAGAGACAGTATGGAGGAAAGCAAGGGACAGACAGTGAGAGACAGTAAGGAAGAAAGCCAGGGAAAGACAGTGAGAGACAGTATGGAGGAAAGCAAGAGACAGACAGTGAGAGACAGTAAGGAAGAAAGCCAGGGACAGACAGTGAGAGACAGTATGGAGGAAAGCCAGAGACAGACAGTGAGAGACAGTAAGGAAGAAAGCCAGGGACAGACAGTGAGAGACAGTATGGAGGAAAGCCAGAGACAGACAGTGAGAGACAGTATGGAGGAAAGCCAGAGACAGACAGTGAGAGACAGTATGGAGGAAAGCCAGAGACAGACAGTGAGAGACAGTATGGAGGAAAGCCAGAGACAGACTAGCGAATTCCCAAACTCAGTGTTTTCTAAATAATTATATCAGAGCATATTCTAGGTCACCAGGAGCTGCTGCCTAGGACAGTCTGATGGCAGCAGGACTACCAGTAGGAAATCATTGGTGTCTATATTACGTATTAGTCCGAGCTGGAACAGTTCTTATTCCAAACTCGGTTCTCGGTTTGTACATTTGCGGTGGTGGCTGTTGACTATTTATCCTGTAATTATTTCTGTCACTTGCTGGCCTCAATGATATATTTTCATTCCAGAATAGCTCAGGAAATTTAAAATATAAAAGCACACATTCCACTCTATAGCTGTGACTACCTGCACCTGTCTGGACGAATTTCACTCTGAAATCTGCATTTGGATGGAATAATGCTCATTTCTGCTGAAGTCGAATAGCTATAGGAACAGGTGAGACTGAACTGGAGGTACAAACCCACATAGAAGCTAAGAAACACTTTTAGGAGAAACTTTGCAATGTATAAGGCATTGTTCTACAGTGTCCCGTTAAGAAGACACACGATCGGTTCTCCTGAGCATCTTTGACAGTGGCGTGAATCCGTTTATGTCCCCATGTAATAATGGACGGATCACTAAAGAGACTGGTGTAGTAGGTGTCAATGACTATACCAGGAAACTCCACTGAGCCGGCTTTGCCACAAACCATTTAACCCTTTAAATGTCACTGATATAAATGTGTGTCTGTATCACCTTTTAGACCTAACTTGTAACAACAGGGAAAATAAAAGGTAAGGGATGTAGGGAATATGAATCCATCAATCGGCGCTCATGCACTCCTGAAAAACTCTAAAACTTTGAATTTCACAATGCTCTCACATCAGTAGGCTTACAGCTCATTGTGATGGTGACTAATCTTTATAGACTTACAGATCTGTCAGGAAGCCGAAGTGAATTTCAAATTTAAGACCAAAGTAGCCGAGCTGGAAAAATTCTCCAAGTCATGCCTTTAGTTCGGCTATTTTGATCTTAAATGTACAATGAATTTTGAATTCCTGACAATTTTGACGTTAGTAAATAACCCTGACGAGTTGTCATTCCTATTGTTGCCGGCGCTGTCTTGTTGGCTTTGATTGTCTGCACTGTAGTTTGGTCCGGGGTGACTGAGATCGCAGGAACACTTGGGACTTCGGACCAAGGTTTTGTGATAAGATGGCAAATTGTTACATATTTTGGACCGTTTCTTCCAGGCGATCTCTCCTCATTGTCCCTTTACTCGGAGCATATAGATTGTTGCAGAGAAAGCAGCAGTAACTATTAGTATAGCTTAGATTGCAGTCACTTGGCAAACCTTCCGCCATTTCAAATGGACACCTTGATTTTAGGAGTGTGAGTGGGGTGTGGCCAGGGGCAGGGCTGTTTTGTGGGGGGGTGTGGCCAGGGGTAGGGGTGTTCTGCATGTAAGGTTAGGAGGGTCAGGGCTGGTCTGACCAGGGTGGGGGCTGTTCTGGGTGGGGTGTGGTCAGAGCTGTCTTCTGAGTTTGAGATGGGGTGTTGCCAGGGGCGGAGCTGTTCTGAGAAATTTTAGGTGACTTACTAATAGTAATTTATATAAATAAAATGTAATTTAGAAGAAGAACAATGTATCTTATTTACAGACTGATTTCTAAACACATTTTTTGTAGTTTAAAGACACATTACTGGGAGTATTATTGCTGTGGAGCTCTGTTATACCCTCAGACACATTACTGGGAGTATTATTGCTGTGGAGCTCTGTTATACCCTCAGACACATTACTGGGAGTATTATTGCTGTGGAGCTCTGTTATACACTCAGACACATTACTGGGAGTATTATTGCTGTGGAGCTCTGTTATACCCTCAGACACATTACTGAGAGTATTATTGCTGTGGAGCTCTGTTATACACTCAGACACATTACTGGGAGTATTATTGCTGTGGAGCTCTGTTATACACTCAGACACATTACTGGGAGTATTATTGCTGTGGAGCTCTGTTATACGCTCAGACACGTTACTGGGAGTATTATTGCTGTGGAGCTCTGTTATACGCTCAGACACGTTACTGGGAGTATTATTGCTGTGGAGCTCTGTTATACCCTCAGACACATTACTGAGAGTATTATTGCTGTGGAGCTCTGTTATACACACAGACACATTACTGGGAGTATTATTGCTGTGGTGCTCTGTTATACACTCAGACACATTACTGAGAGTATTATTGCTGTGGAGCTCTGTTATACACTCAGACACATTACTGGGAGTATTATTGCTGTGGAGCTCTGTTATACACTCAGACACATTACTGGGAGTATTATTGATGAGGAGCTCTGTTATGCACTTAGACACATTACTGGGAGTATTATTGCTGTGGAGCTCTGTTATACACTCAGACACATTACTGGGAGTATTATTACTGTGGAGCTCTGTTATACACTCAGACACATTACTGGGAGTATTATTGCTGTGAGCTCTGTTATACACTCAGACACATTACTGGGAGTATTATTGCTGTGGGACTCTGTTATACAGTCAGACACATTACTGGGAGTATTATTGCTGTGGAGCTCTGTTATACACTCAGACACATTACTGGGAGTATTATTGCTGTGGAGCTCTGTTATACACTCAGACACATTACTGGGAGTATTATTGCTGTGGAGCTCTGTTATACACTCAGACACATTACTGGGAGTATTATTGCTGAGGAGCTCTGTTATACAGTCAGACACATTACTGGGAGTATTATTACTGTGGAGCTCTGTTATACACTCAGACACATTACTGGGAGTATTATAGCTGTGGAGCTCTGTTATACACTCAGACACATTACTGGGAGTATTATAGCTGTGGGGCTCTGTTATACACTCAGACACATTACTGGGAGTATTATTGCTGAGGAGCTCTGTAATACACTCAGACAGTTTACTGGGAGTATTATTGCTGAGGAGCTCTGTTATACACTCAGACACATTACTGGGAGTATTATTGCTGTGGAGCTCTGTTATACACTCAGACACATTACTGGGAGTATTATTGCTGTGGAGCTCTGTTATACACTCAGACACGTTGCTGGGAGTATTATTGCTGTGGAGCTCTGTTATACGCTCAGACACGTTGCTGGGAGTATTATTGCTGTGGGGAGCTGTGGAGCTCTGTTATACACTCAGACACATTACTGGGAGTATTATTGCTGTGGAGCTCTGTTATACCCTCAGACACATTACTGGGAGTATTATTGCTGTGGAGCTCTGTTATACACTCAGACACATTACTGGGAGTATTATTGCTGTGGAGCTCTGTTATACACTCAGACACATTACTGGGAGTATTATTGCTGTGGAGCCCTGTTATACACTCAGACACATTACTGGGAGTATTATTGCTGTGGTGCTCTGTTATACACTCGGACACATTACTGGGGTGTGTGCTGTGGTGCTCTGTTATACACTCAGACACATTACTGGGAGTATTATTACTGTGGAGCTCTGTTATACACTCAGACACATTACTGGGAGTATTATTGCTGTGAGCTCTGTTATACACTCAGACACATTACTGGGAGTATTATTGCTGTGGGACTCTGTTATACAGTCAGACACATTACTGGGAGTATTATTGCTGTGAGCTCTGTTATACACTCAGACACATTACTGGGAGTATTATTGCTGTGGGACTCTGTTATACAGTCAGACTGTGCTAGGGTGTGGTACTGTGGGCTCTGTTATGCCTCAGACACATTACTGGGAGTATTATTGTTGTGGAGCTCTGTTATACACTCAGACACATTACTGGAATTATTATTGCTGTGGAGCTCTGTTATACACTCAGACACATTACTGGGAGTATTATTGCTGTGGAGCTCTGTTATACACTCAGATACATTACTGGGAGTATTATTGCTGTGGAGCTCTGTTATACAATCAGACACATTACTGGGAGTATTATTACTGTGGGCTCTGTTATACACTCAGACACTTTACTGGGAGTGTTATTGCTGTGGAGCTCTGCTATA